TATAATTTTGTGACAAACTCAGATCTGAAAGGGTACCTTTTTTTCCATTATTCGCTGTCATACGGCAAATTTTGAAATATACCTCTTTCTAATAGAAACTTTACAAACCACACCGTTTAATCAAAAATCGAATCATAAACATTACTTTCCTATAAATTTAGAAACATTATAAATAAATGCAATAATTAATTTTAGTTGTGTGAACTTGGTTAGGAGGAGGGGGTAGAGCGCTGAGTTTGGGCGCCAGCGCCGGGCGCTAACTTCACACAAGTTGCATACATTACGTATTTCTTAGCGGAATCTCTAGATCTTACGATTTAATAGATCTACGGAATTTAAAGGTTTTGTCGTGTTTAATTTAAATAAAAATCGATTTTTCCATAAGGTCAAATTATTTTAGCTCTTATTTAAATTATTTTGTAATGAGTTTATTCAAAAAATTAATATGAACTTGAAAATTGTTTTATTAATAATAAATAATGAAATAACAGAATAACGGATTTCATAATCAAATAGATGGTGTTAACTTATTTCATTATACTTAAGTCCAGTATTCAGTTTAATATTATGCGGTAAAACGTCGGTGTTTATTTAAAGATTTCCTCTTTTTCTACATAAGGAAATAAAAAATTTAAAAAATCACACATACTTTTATTTAACATTGCACTAACCTACAAATAAGAGACAGACTAGTCAGTCGAATTATATAAAGTGGACTGACCAAGAAGTTAGTTTTGTAACTCAATGATTTAACATCTACTTTTATGGAGATTCTCTGGAACTAATTAAATACGAATGAAACGATGTAATCAATGATAATATAACAACAAATCATAACTGGCATAAATATTCTGATTTAAACGGGTACGTGTCAAAAAAATATACGTGTGGCACTCGGAGACTGCCTCGGTAAAGCTATTGCATAGCATTTTTTATCAACTTATGCAATTATAATTATTTATTTATTTATTTATTTTAGATATGCAGTATTTTTTATCTTTGATATTAATTCAAGTTACACTTTTTGAGCGTGGTGACCAATAAGAAAACAATTTTTTTTCTTTTATTGAATAAATGAGAAGTTAATATTGTTTAAAATAGTTTTATTATCTTACAATACATGTAGGTTATTCAGGAATTTTTATCATTGAAACTATAGGTTTATGGTAACTGAAATAAGAAACATAAGTTTGAGACTTGATATCCTCTAAATATCTGGAAAATACCGCGTCAGTGGTGGTCCCATATTTGGTTGTGGATTCTTGTGGATCATTATTCATTTTCAAATTCAATTTTTCCGAAATTATGTCTAAAAGAGATAGAATCAGTTATGAGCAGTTAGCAGCTAGTCTACACGCAAACGTCTAGTCGCACGCACACAAACACCGTGCCGAAGTCTGCCGAACTGAAACGACGTTAGACGATGCACGGCTTTTGAACGCCGCACCGCTGTGCCGGTCGGAGTGGGGGGTGTTAGGTCTATTTTCGTTACGGAATTTCTTTTACGATTTTTTCGATTTTTCGTTTTTTCGATTTTCTTTTATTGAATAAATGATAAGTTAATATTGTTTAACGCCGCACCGCTGTGCCGGTCGGAGTGGGGGGTGTTAGTTTTTTTTTTTTTCGTTATGGAATTTCTTGATTCGGTCGCCGCGCTCAAAGCCCGCGATAAAAGCTATGCAATAATTAATAAAAATTAATAAAAAAAATTGCCAGGTATCACATGAAAAAAATTCTCTTAAATAACGAACTGTTGTACACTTTTAATAATTGAGATTTGAGAAATTCCAGCGCAGAGGGATATGGTCAGCTAGTTGGTTTAATATTTCATTTTTTATTTTTTTTGCCTCTTCGAAAAGCCAGTTTTTATCAAGAAGCAGCCTCTTTTTCAATATCCTTCAGAAATACTGAGTAATAAAAAATAACTGAATATTCATGTTATTTGCAGGTATAAAAAATATGTACAAATGTGTAGTATTTACTATAATAAATGTTCAAAATGGCCTTCATTTTCCTGAATACACATTAGGCACTGTTATAAAAAGAAAAACCAAATTTTTTTGGAAGATCATTGGCTTCTGACCAAATCGATTTGCACTTTCAATGATTCGATGCCTCAGTTATTGTTCGTCGATTATTTTAACAGAATACAAGTCCTCTTTAATACAATCTCAGAAGCAAAAGTCAATAGGGTTAAGATCTGGCCAAGAAATAGGTGCATCAGAGCTCCCGTCCAATCCAACGTCCAGGGTACAGACCGAAAAGATATTCCTTAATTTCGTTATCGAAATGCGCAGAAGCTCCATTTTGTTAATAGCACATATTTTACCTTATTATTAAATTTACCTCTTCCAAGTACTTTGGTAAATCTTTTGTAAGATCTGCAGGTAATTTGCACCATTTAAATTATTTGGAAGAAATACTGGGTCCTATCAAATTATTATTTACAATGCCTGCCCAAACATTGTGTTTGAAAGTCCTTTGGTGATAAGTCATTTTTTGCGTGAGGATTTTCTTCGGCCCATTTGTGTTCGTTATGGTAATTCATAATGCCATTTCTATTGAAGGTAGCTTCATCTGTAAACAAAATATGATTAATGAAACTGATATTTCGAATGTTTTCCGTTAAGAGCCGCAAAATGGCATACTTTTTGGATAATCTTCATCTAGTAATTCTTAAACGGTTGTTAAGTGATGAAGCTGCTGTTCCTTCAATCTTCTCCAAACCATCATGTGACCAATATCTAATTGAGCAGCTATTGCTCTTGTACTGTGTTGGGCGGCCTATGTCCATCTCTGGGCTTAGACGTTCATTTAGGTGAGGTGGCCAACATCAACCTTGATGTGCCAAGAAAACCATCTGGAACCGGCTAGTCCCAAGCTTCCATAAATAATACAATAAGTATAACTAAAACACACACTCTGAAAATGCGCTTTTTATTAACACTAGATAAATCACAAATTTACACTGCACTTATTACACTTGGCCTCTACTGGGCTACTATACATTGAAATATTAAATTTAAACCATTGTTGAGATAGAGTTCTTACAAGAGACTGGCTTATTTTATTACAATACTAAAATTACTGAAACATTTTTTGCAGGAAACATCCCCTTACGTCATGTATCGGCCTCTTGCCATTGGTCTGAATAATTATTGATTTTGTGTCCCTCTCCTTCTGGAGATGGGATTGCACATTTCTGTTTAGAAGGGTGATTATGTATATATGTGTTTAGTAATAGTGTTTAAGTGTTCAAATGTTTTCTTCGACTAATTTTAAAATCTCCTCATCGTTTGTATCCATTTTTGGACCAGAAAGATGCAATCGCAAAGTACCTACCCGTCTTCCGTAAACGACGATCAATAGAAATAATGGTCTGTCTGATATATTCTGATTGTGATATTTTTCCGCATAACGCCATGCAGCTGCTGCACTATTCCCTTGGCATTAACCTGTGATTGCCAGAATTACAGATAATTATCTGAAACCTTGTTTTAGCCTGACCAAACGTACCCAGAATTAAATACATATCTGTCATTTCTGCAAACGTGTAAACCATTTGCACCGCCAGTCGTTATGAAATAAGCCAAGCTTAAGCTGACATCTTTACATTAGGTACATTAAGCGTGCTCTTTAATAAAAAATGACACGTTTAACGTGCTCTTTAATAATTATGGGACTAGGGGGTTAGACGATAAAATTACTCGTAAATAAGGACCTCAATCGTATAAGGACTCTATTTCCTTAAAATAGGCTTCGTGGCCATAAACTATATGTGGGGTTTATTCGGCAATTAAAAAACCTTTGAAGATTAAAGAAAACACAACGTTTTCTTAAAACAAATATAGTATATATTTAATATAAAAATACAAAATAGGCTACAGCTCGACATACACAAAAATGGGCTCAATGTAATAACAAATACATAAAACGTAAACTTACCAAATCCACTAACATTTGGGGCACACGTCACAACTCTTGCCTGACTATTAAAACGCAATTATTCAAAATACTAAAAAACGACTTAATTCAAACTATGAAGATTATGAGCTGGAGCTGCTACAGGGAATATCCTACAAGGAGGACCTTCTATGGGAAGGATCCGTTCCCTGTGGAAAAAAGGTTCGTGCATTCCCTCGACTTACCTTTATAACTTTCTCATAGTTTATTGTTATTAAAACTAATGTTTAATAATTATTAAATAACCAACCTTGCACATTATTGCTATTTAAAACATAATTAAACAAAGTTTTATGTTCAGGATGTTATTTAAATAATTAATTAAAATTAGGAAAAATATGAATTTATACGAATCGTGACAATATCACTTTAAGCTTCGTTTAATTATTAACGATTAGCGATGTAAAATCCACAATAATCGAAAGCATCAATATTGACAGTATATAATTGTTAAAGCAACTGTTTGTTCTTTATCCGTAGAAATTACAAGTGTTGAACAACCAACTTCAACATTTTTGAAGTAAAATGAAAAAGAGGCCGCATCTAGATAAAAACTGGCTTTTCGAAAAAGTGCGAAGAGGCGAAAAAATTTAAAAAATCATGTATTAAACCAATGGTGTCACAATACTAATTTAATTGTAACGCATAGAAAAGTTTGTGGGTTTTAGGGGTTCAAAATCCACTAAAATGTACATATTTCTTGGTTTTATGTGAAAAAGTCGCCATGTATCCATTTTCTTTACAAAATGTTAAACAGTTTATGAAATATTGGAAAATATCGATTTTTATTTTATACTTTCCAAGCGCTGTAACTTTTTTGTCTGGACATTTGCATTAAGGTAAATTATGTCCAATCGAGTCATTTATGACCTACCTTTTTGTTACACCCTGTATACTTCGGTTAAGAAAGCCATTATAAACCTCGCACATATTATAAAAGTGCTCGGTAAATAATAGCTCACTTCTCAACCTAAGTGTATAATGTACTATTTCTTTAGTTATGTATGTAAATCTCTAAAAATATATATTGTTTCCAGAAAATATCTTTGAAAATTGTCGTCTACAAGATCCTGACAGTGAAGAATGCCTTAAGAATGGATTAAATCAACTTAATCCTTATTTTAAAGAAGGTATTTAATTGATTTATTTAGATATTATCATATTGCACAGTGAATAAGATGTGAATAAAATTAACAGTTTGAATGTTCTCAATTTAAAATTTTTTGGCAAAATTCTCAAGACTTTTAAGACTAAACTATTATTTAAAAGTGTACATTAAAGTAACATAACATTTTTATAGTGACCTTAAATTTGATTTTACACTCCTAATTAATTTAGTTGCTGATCAAATTTTGGGACGTATTACGTATGGTCTGACCTATTTTTGAATAAAAGAAGGGATTAAATTTTTAACGAATATTACCTTTATTGAATAAATTTGTAAATAAGATGCCAACATCACTTTTCTGTGCCTGCCCAATATACGAGGGCGGGTCAATAAGTCCGTGACTTTTTGAATTTCCGGCCTCTTAATTGAAATGGCAACAATGCTCCCGTCAACAGTCATCTGTCTGTTGACTCTTGTCAAAAATTAACAAGCTGCGACATTTAGTTTGTTTTTGACAGCCGTTAATATCAGACTATCTCGTTGACTGAGAAGAAAATGGAAAAAAGTGAATTTCGTGTGCTCATAAAGCATTATTTTTTGCGGAAAAAATCCATTACGCAAACCAAGGCTAAGCTTAATAAATATTATGGGGACTCTGCACCATCCATTTCCATGGTAAAAAAGTGGTTTACTGAATTCCAATGTGACCGTACAAGCACGGAAGATGCCGAACGTTCTGGACGCCCAGTTGAGGTCTCCACATCGGAAACAATTGAAAAAATATATGGTTTTAGCCGATCGGCGATTAAAAGTGAGAGAGATTGTGGAAGCCATAGGCATCTCACATGGCTCAGTGGTTTCAATTTTGAATGATCATTTGGGTATGAGAAAGCTTTCCGCAAGATGGGTGCCGCGATTGCTCACAATCGACCACAAACGCAACCGTGTAACAATTTCGCAGGAATGTTTGGCGTTGTTCAGTCGCAATATGAACGAGTTTTTGCGCCGTTTCGTAACCGTGGACGAAACGTGGATCCACCACAACACACCGGAGACCAAACAGCAGTCAAAACAGTGGGTTTCTCGGGGTGAAAGAAGGCAAAGGTGGGTTTGTCAGCCAATAAAGTCATGGCGACTGTTTTTTGGGATGCACGCGGTATTATCCACATTGACTACCTTCAAAAAGGAAAAACAATCAATAGTGAATATTACAGCAACTTATTGGGTCGATTCGATGAGGCATTGAAAAAAAAGCGACCGCATTTGGCCAAGAAAAAAGTCCTTTTCCACCAGGATAATCCATGGCAAAAATCCATGAATTGGGCTACGAATTGTTCCCTCAAATCCATGAATTGGGCTACGAATTGTTCCCTCATCCGGCCTATTCACCCGACCTAGCCCCGTGTGACTATTTCTTGTTTCCGAACTTGAAGAAATGGCTCGGCGGAAAGAGATTTGCCTCCAATGACGAAGTCATCTCACAAACAAATACCTATTTTGAAGACCTCGACAAATCATATTTTTCGGAAGGGATAAAAAAACTGGAGAAACGTTGGGCTAAGTGTATAGAGCTCAAAGAAGACTACGTTGAAAAATAAAATAACTTTTTATCTAAAAACCTGTGTTTCATTCAAAAAGTCACGGACTCATTGACCCGCCCTCGTATTTTTAGCACTGTTTTTTTTATTATTATTACAACATGGAACGTAATTGATGTTTCAATGTCGAATCTCTCGTCAAAATTACTTAAATAAAAGGAATAAAGAGGCAAATTTACATATTATATTATTATGAAAGACTTGAATTACTTCTTTAGAAGATAAAACATGACTTGCACCAGAATTTTGAACGTAATAAATTTCTGCAACTGCAAAGGCTACTTCACTAGTAAACTTTGATAAAATTGGTTTGAAAAAAATCGTTCGTTATACTAAAAATTTGTAAAATTTCAAAATCCGCATTAAAATATAATATATGGATTGAAGTTAGTTATGGTAACCAGTAACTAAATTTTGCTAAATTAATTTATTATAAATAGTTAAATACACTACTCTCCAAAATTAACGCACCTCCTTAAACGTACCATAAGTTTGAAGTTTGGATTTCGATGATTTTTTTTTTTTTTTCACATTATAGGTCTATTTCTAAGGAATTACTGTACCAATGTTTTGTGAGAAATGTCAATTTTTACCCATATACGGGATGTAAAAATAAAGTTGTTTTTTCATCTTATTTTGCAACACTCTGTGAAATTTAATAAAAACTAACGCTACATCTCGTTAATATTGCGAGATAGCTTCATCTTTTCTCCACATTTTCATAAAAAAAAAACTCGATATCTCTGTTATCAAAGAAGAAAACTACGTGCAAAGCATAACGTGAGAGAAGTTTGGGATGCAATTGAGCAAGACCAAATACATCGCTTGATTTTAAGTATGCCTAGTCGCTGCGAAGAATTAGAAATAGAGGCGGAAATACTCGTTATTAAGTGTTTTTAAGAGAGGGAACTTGTTAAAGATTATTTAGGTTATGTTTTCTTAGGTTTTAAATGTCACTTAATTTTATGTAAGTAGTATTTTCTTTGCTTTCATTTGCTTTAAATGTCCATAAAAACTTGTTACATTTAAAGTTGTGTATAATATTTGATAATAGAGATATCAAGATGATTTTTTTTACGAAAATGTTGAAGCTATCTCGCAATATTAATAAAATGTAGCGTTTGTTTTTAATAAATTCCACAGGGTGTTGCAAAATAAGATGAAAAAACACAAATTTATCTTTACACCCTGTCATTTCCCAGAAAACATTAGTAAAGTAATTCCTTAGAAATAGACCTATAATGTGAAAAAAAAAACATTAAAATCCAATTAATAGTTCAAAAGAAAAATAGCTTCATTTAAGGTGGTGCGTTAAAGTGTATATTATGCCGTATATGTATGAAAATATTAATTTTTTATTGATTCATACATATTTATTACAACATATCATTTTTAAATGAACCTTTTTACTTCAAACATTAAACCTTTACATATTTTTAGGACTTCCCGATTATGGAATAGAATCATTTGATCCATTTTTTGCCTCGGAAGTACCCTACAAGAGCAGAACGCCATTATTTAATTTTAATTTAATCCTTAGAAACGTTTCGGAAAGTGGATGGACACTATCACAAGTAACAAAATTAAGGTATGTATGTAGTTTAATAATATACGGTGTTTCAATTAAAACACCATAATTATTATGCATAGGTGTTTGAAAATACTATTTATTAGGTTAATTGTACTGTCCAACTCGTAAGAACAAAATCTAGATAACTTCAATACAAATATCGAAACGGAGTTGTCAAGGTATTGAATTATAAGGTATTAACAGTTATATGTAAAAGATCACGTATATACATTAAGAATGGGACACAGAACAACTAAAGATTATCTGATAATTAAAAATTTAAAAAAACCGACTTCAAAAACGTGCAGATGCCGTCACCACATCTTAACCAATTTTACATGGGACCACCCTTGAGGTACCCCCTTACTAACAAAAAAGAATCATAGAAATCGGACAAGATGGTAAAGCATTATCGCTAAACATACATAAAAAATGAAGAGTTTGAGGATTTTCCCATGGATCCAATTATTAGATTTTAACCAAATTTATATGGGACCACCCCTGAAGTACCCCCTTTCTATCAAAAAAAAGAATTATTGAAATCGGACAAGATAGTAAAGCATTATCGCTAAACATACATAAAAAATTAAGAGTTTGAGGATTTTCCCATGGATCCAATTATTAGATTTTAACCAAATTTATATGGGACCACCCCTGAAGTACCCCCTTTCTATCAAAAAAAGAATTATTGAAATCGGACAAGATAGTAAAGCATTATCGCTAAACATACATAAAAAATTAAGAGTTTGAGGATTTTCCCATGGATCCAATTATTAGATTTTAACCAAATTTATATGGGACCACCCCTGAAGTACCCCCTTTCTAACAAAAAAAGAATCATTGAAATCGGACACTGTGTTAAAGAATAATCGCTGAACATACATAAAAAAAAAATATCGCGACGAATTGATAACCTCCTCCTTTTTTGAAGTCGGTTAAAAAAAAATAAGACAATTAAACGAAAAATGCCTAGATATAATATTACTTGTTTCCGAAATACAGAGTGTTAAAGTTGAAAATTCAAAAATTAATAATGGCTATTATTTTTTATTTCTCAGTATAATTTTACTAAATTCGGCAAACATTTTGGTGCCGTAAGATACACATATCAGTAAAAAAACAGTTACATAAACTTTGCCAGTGTCGTAGGGTATGGATTAATCAAAAATAACGAAAATCGATTTTGTTTGTAAATTAATCATCTAATCGATAATTTTGTCCACCCCTAGTTATTACATATCCACTGGCATCAATTTGTAAAGAATGTACTACAATATATATGTTGACTACTTTTTCAGTGTCTCCTAATTTAGTTGATACATTTAGCTATTGTCAACTAATTTGGGAACCTTCAAAATCATTTATTTTTTAAACGAATTTGAACAGCCAGGGTTAATGTGTTTAGATACATTTTGTTCACGCCAATTTTCACGTAAACCCAGCCTTAATGATGACTGTCTCTATAGTTATAATAGCTTGATCATTTGTAATATTAATTTTTTTGTAAACTGTTTGAAAATCATTTAAATGAAACTCAGTTTGAAATAATATACTCAATTGAATCTACTTAGATCCTGACATAAAACCACTTCGATTTTTGACTGCATATCAATTTTTGCAAGTATTTCAGTTTTGTTTTTAATTTAAGGTTTATTAACACTGATAATTGTTTTACGTAAAGTTCATTGTTATAAAGTTTCCAACCATTTATAGAATTGTCTATTGTCACATTGTCAATTAATATATATTTGCTTCCAAAACTTTGAATAACAAAAATTAAGAAATTATAAACGTTTAAGAAAAAATAAATCGCATGGTTTTATTGCTCTATGATTAATCTAATATTGATATTTGTCGTTTGTACAACAAGAAATCAATTAAAATTAAAAACATTTTTTTTAGTGTCCGCGAATCCAAAATTATTATCTATAGTGTTTCAAAGTGTCTAGAAGCTTTCTATAAAATTTCAGAAGTAATATATTCTCCGTTCAGACGTTGTATTATCAAAGTTTTTTTTTAAGTCTGAAAATAAAAATTACACATGATATTGATTATATGTTTTTTATCTCATTAATTCTTTTCATTTATCTTAACCCTTTTCTTTTAGATTAAATTCAAACAAAAAAGAAATGGAGATTACGCAATCTTTTCCCGATAAACGACTATCAGGATGGTATGCATTTGATGGAAATATACTTGGAAGAAAGATAAAAAACGAAGGTGCTTGGAATTTATCACTGTTTAATTATGTTCAAACGTTAACAATTTCGAGAAAACCAGCTGGTCCTTCGGCACCTCTTCAATATTCTCCCATAAAAGTGAAGTGCAGCTTAGAAACTTGCAAAAATCTGGAAATGCATATTAGTAATCTAGCTGGTGGACGAACAGTGATAGGTAAGTTTACGCCAAATTAGTGATGACGTAATTTTAGTGCCACTGACAATAATTAACCAATAACTTTGTTCTGAAACAATATTAATCTAAGTACTTATCAACATCAATCCATCGATCTCCATGTGACCAATCACAAATCAAAGACAGCAAAAAATGGTGGAAAACGACTATCGCATAGATGCTACCCGAACCATACTCTGTGTGCCATGTTAACATTCCTTTTAGTAACATTCTTTCAACATTTGGTGCTAAAACTATTGATTCCAAGAAACACCTTTCGACGTGTGGTATTAAAGAGACAAGAAAATCGTTTTGTATTTGAGTCGTTGGAAAGAAGAAATGGAACAAAATACCAAAATCACATCATGTTGAAATGAAAGTCGCATTGGTATGTGGTAATCTACACGTCGCTTTCCACATGACACAGAGTTAGATTTTTAATTCTAATTGGTCTATCAGCTTGGTGTTTTTAATGACGTAACCATGGATATGGATCGCAAAGTAGTTTGATAAAAAAGAATTGTAGCTGCAGACGTTAAAATGAGTCGCTTCTGTGCTACTTCAAATGAAGTTATCAAACAAAATATTGATGAAAGTATCACCAGTAACACAAAAAAATCAAAATCTTATATATGGAGACAATTTATGACATTTTGTGTGGAACGCACTTACAATTCAGATGCAGAAAATAGCAACGAAAGGCTAGTATTCATTTTGAAAGACTGGTCATTCAATATGCGGAATATTGGTGGTAGTGATTACAAGAAGAATGTTAATTTGGTGGACTTAGATTAAATTTATTAAGTATTAATTTCTTCCTTTCATTCTGCAGTTTTTAAATTATTTGACCTTTCACTTTGTAAAATAGTTTAATAAAATACCAATATTGATTGGATTTATCTTATAAGTTTGTCTTTTATTTCTAAACTCAACTAAGTTGCTTAAAGAAACTCACTTTCATTTAGAAATAAATCATCACGAAAATTAAATCACTTGTGGCATTACTACTGATAACTATATACAAGTCATTCGCACACTGTGCTCTGCTTTCACACATACACAACACTTTAACATTACATGAGATCAAATGGCCTAGTCCTCTTCAATCGTCGGACATATATTGTCTAATATTTGAGGAACTTCTGCATTGGTATGTAGGTGAAGTTTGGCTTCAACATGTACTTTTCATCGTAACTTGGCATCAAGAATCATGCCAAGGTACTTCTACTACTAATTCAATGACTATGAAGACTAAAGAGAAGGAGACGAATTGACAATGGACAAATTTCAGTCCTTTTTACTTTCCTATCTGTATACAGATATAAGGAAAGTATAGGAATCATGATTTTTTTCGACCTCGAGTTTTCGACGGATTTTTACGTTTTGAGGTCCCCTGAATCCGTTTTGACTATTTTCGCGATGATGTCTGTGTGTGTGTGTGTCTGTGTGTGTGTCTGTATAACGCATAACTCATGAACCGATACACAGAAAAACACCAAATTTTAAACTTAAGCTTTGTTTCAGCGTCCAATGAGCTGATTAGATTTTGGGCAGAGTCGGAACATCTGGGGGGGTACTTTATAGGTGGTCATTTTTATATTTTATGGAATATATCTGTTATTTACGTTTGGGGAAGAAAATTTTTTAAATAAAAGTTACTTCTTATTTTATTATCTATAATTTTTGTCATTTACAAAATTTTCCTAAAATGGTCCGTATTCGAGAAATTTGACAAAATGTAAAAAAATATTTTTTTTTATAAAAATTGTTCAAACAAAAGTTGTTTGTAATATAATTCTCTATAATTTTTGTCCCATAGATAATTTCTCTAAAATGGACCGTATTCGAGATATTTGAGAAAATGTGTAAATTTCGAAATTTGAAGAAAACTCAAAAACGGATAAAGAAAATATCAATAAATTTTAAACTTAAGTTTTATTTCGGCCTGACGTGAAATGATTAGATTTTGGATAAAGTCGGAACATCTGGGGGGGTACTTTATGGGAGGCCGTTTATATATTTTATGGAATATATCTGTTATTTATGTTTGGAGAAGAAAATTGTTCAAATAAAAGTTACTTCTAATATTATTATCTATAATTTTTGCCTTACGTAAAAATTTCCTGAAATGGTCCGTATTCGAGAAATTTGACAAAATGTGCAAAATTCTGATTTTTATGAAAATTGTTGAAATAAAAGTTGTTTGCGATATCGATCTCTATAATATTTGTTCATACATGATTTTTTTTAAATGGACCGTAATGGAAAAATTGTAGGAAAAGTGCTAAATTTAAATTTGTCAGTATTTTCATTTTCAATGAATATCTATAGAAAAATGTTTCGCGGTAGATGTATGTGGACAATGTATATATATATATATATATATATATATATATATATATATATATATATATATATATATATATATATATATATATTTAGTTTATCCTCTAAACATTTATAGAGATGCTGCAATAGGTTGTACACAATAAACGGAAAAAGCCTGTAATAACTAGATAGGAAAGTCATGTGTTGGACACATCAGATTTTTTTGTTTACCAAATTGACTACTTATCGGGTCGAATGTTAGATACGTTAATTTTCTATGTAAGTCAATGTGAAATAAAGTGTTCTCTTAAAAAATTGGTAAAAATTATCAAAATAATATGACTATAAGTAACATGAGTAACAAAAAACATCAAATCAAGATTTACTTCGTTCCAGGTTATAAAACGGGATATAAATCAGATGTAAAACTAAAGAAAACTCAAGGAGAAATCAATTCAAAGTCTTTTTAAAGCTCCTAGTGTCAGTAAAATAATTATTTTTTTTTTTTAATATAATATTTATTGTAAACTAGTCAAAACCCATATCTTACAGATTGTAGTTTATTTTTTGACAAATTTCTATAATATAAAATTTTACAATAATAATTTTACACATTACATTTAACTTAGTAGCATGTTTTGTTTTACAGAGTTTTAATGTTATATGAAGAGTTGCTGCTATTTTTTTGTTGAACCCTAATTTTGTCATTGTAAATGTTCTTATTGGATCCTAAACGTTTATACTTGTATCATAACAATAAATAAAGAATATTTTAACTATGTTTTATGTGGCTATTAAAACTATATTTAAGTATAATTCAAAAAAATTTAGTCACAAAATTGGACTTCACCAAATTTCACCATTTATCACTTAAAACATGTAAGACTTATTTAGAAATAAATACAACATTTTATGTGCTTTATTTTGTAATAAACAAGTTTATTTTTATTATTTTTACAAAATTATGTTAAATTCCCATAAGAAGCCATGTATTTTGAACATCTCTCGCAACACCACTGACCTACGATGAATTATAAAAGCTTAATTAGCGTTAGTTTTTTGGGTATTTCGGGTATGCCGATTCGCCTCCTTCTATCTAGTCTTCATATCAATGACAGAATGGCTTATTTTTGTTAAAAGTTAACTGTCAGTTGTCAATAGAACCAAAATTACATCTGCCAATATGGCATATTATTATTGTCACCGTCATCTTTAAAATTTCATCATTTTCTTTAAGGACAAGACAGCTATTTGTATTTGGGAACTCCTGAGCTAATGCACGAAACATGTTATCAGATTGTTCCATAATATTCTCAATTTTGTTAATGATATAATTTATTTTTTTTTTAGAAAATATGTTGGACCGCGTGATAAACACAGCTTGGCAACCAGGATTCGTGATTTTGAAACCAGTAATAAATCAACTAGTTGGAACGGCTTTTACAGAAATTTTCAACAAGAATTTTCAAACATTCCCTTTTGCTACAGTTTTTAAAAACTAAGTGCTTCAAATTTTGCTCAGTATTATTATTATTACATGTATTTTTAGTTTAAAATATATAGCTCCAAAGGCATTAAAGCCTGCCCACAAGTTTTTCTGTCCTTAAAAATGTTAGATGACCAGGTTTAAAGGACAAAGGATTCATATCAAAGTATTTTTAAGTGGTAAACAGACTAAATAATTTAAATGTGCAGGCTTGAGGATTAAAGGTAACAAATATTTTTATCTGCACCGACCTAAAGGATGAGATGCTCAAATAATTTTACATGAGTAAGCTTAAATAGTAAAGAGCCCAAACATTTTTACATAAATTGTTTGAACAATTTGAAAGCCACGAACATTGAATGGTTTTTAAAAACCAGGACAAGTAATATGAAGTTAAATACATTATGTATAATCTAATTTTTGAATTATGTCATAAAATCATCCGTATTGTCAAAAAAAAAAACATGTGAAAACGGGAAATTTTACATAATAGTCAATATTGCCTGACTTTAGTTTCACATCCCGAAAACCCTACAGTCTACTCTTACGAGAAGAAAATACCTGTCTCTTAGTGTTCGTTATTCAACTTTGAAAAGGGGTCAGGTATTTGGTTATGAAAAACTGTCTACGAGTCATATATTTAATGTTGATTATTATTAGCCAAATTGAGCCTAAGCGTAATTACGGAGGCTCCCTTTCTGTGTGTATTTCAATGGGAGAAGAAAGGAAGAAGAAAGGTAGAAAAAAGGAAGAAGAAAGGGAGAAGAAAGGAAGAAGAAAGAGAGAAGAAAGGAAGAAGAAATGGAGAGGGGCGAAGAAAGAGAGAAGGGAGAAGAAAGGAAGAAGAAAGGTAGAAGAAAGGGAAAGCTATTTCATATTCTAATAAAAACAATTTAAGAAAATAAAAAATGGCTTACCTTAGAGTAATATAGAAAACAAAACTATTTAAACGTCTATATTTTCATTTGATTCATTTCTAATATTAACTTGGTTGTTTATATTTTTTTATTTTCTTCTACTTTTTCGCTTTCTACTTCCTATTCTTCAATTTCCTCTTTACATATATCGTTTCTCTGATGGGCATATCGTAAATGAATGCCCCAACCATTCACTCCATAGATGGCTTCAGATCTTTTTATAACCTTTGTCTTTTTGATTTTGATTTATTTCGGATCATTTTTTATAATGCAATAATGTTTCTTTCAGCTATACAAATCTGATGTATACAACAAATGACTTTCCTATAAAGTAATCAAAAAGTTTTTATTAAATGATTTAAAGATATAAACATTTTGTCATATCTTCATTGCCAAAAATAATTAATAGTGAATTAGATTACAAACAACTCTTAAGAATTTTCTTCTATGATCATAAATAACAAAAATATACCTTAAAGTAGAAAAACTAGCTCTTATAAAATGTTCTATTATTTTGAATCGCTCAGTTCTATCGATAATTCGATATTTGATTACCTTATTAATATGTATTGAATTAAATATTTACAAATAATCGATAATCTGATTATTCGGAAATAATTTAATAATTATTCGAAAATAATCGATTTTCTATTATTTGAAAATAACTGATTAATGGAAAATAATCGATCTCTCGATTAATCGAATATTCAATATCAAACCAGGAATAGAAAATGTTTTTTTATAAAATAAATTAAAAAAATACTGGTTTTATTTCCAATATTTTTTTGATATAAGTGTCTTGTATGTATACGTCGCTGGTATGAGGAAAAATTGGGTCGTTCTTGTATAAATAACTTGAGAGTTTGTGTAGAAAACGAAGTGTTTTTATTAATCACACATGAAGTAGAAGGAATGCTGGTGGTGTAGATAGAACAAAACTTCTTAACTAATAAGTACAATCAAGTTGATTGTTTCCAATTTGAATTTAGGAAGAGATTTAATATTATGTCATATACTATCTCGTCATATACTATTTGGAGCCGAATTGAGTGTCTGGTACATAGTTGACGCAATAGATCTTTTGTACAATAGTGGGAGGTGGTTCTGGCGAATGAGGTGCATGACATAAGAAATACGTCACTTGGGGTGCGTTAGCTATGCACCGGACACTCATAAGGTCGCTTTTCTAAGAACTGCGTGAGAAAAAGAGAGTGAAAGTGGAAGAGACTTGAGTTAATTGCGCTGAGAGAGATAGACTATAAAAAACGTGTTTGTCCAAGTATTCACTGATGGTTAGAAATGTTTTAGCGAAACTGGGCCGTATTTGCACATGAAGATGGTTATTTTTCGTTATTTTAAAAAGTTACTTGTGATTTGACTTAACATTAAGATTAAAAGAAAAATAAATTATTTGATAATTATGTTGTTTAATGAACGTAGAAGTGAAATATTAATTTAATGATATTTTTCTGGTAAATTTATAGAATTTAACCATAAATAAATAATAAAATGTCCAACCTTTTCAGACATATTGTATGAGTGTTGTTTTTACACCCATTTATAAGAACTCAGTTAGATAAGAAAAATGTTGTAGATGTACTTTGATCAGTACAAATGATATGCCAAATTATAATTTTTTTTCGCTTGTGATATTTAAGAAAAAAAAAAACACTTTTTCCAGAATACTCTGTATAAGTATGTTATGTTGGGCATGGAGTGTTAATACTTTGCGACCTAAAAGATCTTCTGTCGATATGTTTCGCCACTACAGTGGTCTCTCTTCAGGGCCTGCATACCTTAGTTGTGTCCCTTATTAGAAAGGGTGTGCTCCCAGGAAAGTGAGTTTCTAGGTAGATGTGAGCTCTTTCCTCCTCACTCTCCGTGAAGCTTCCATTTGGTTTCTTTAGAGCCATAGCTGTATCCACTCCCTCTTTTGCCAGGACCCAGTGCAGTCTTGCTGCTGCAGGAGTAGAATTAATCTCCTCATCGAATTTCCTGAAGCTGTTGCGTTTATTGCCACAATGTAGATCTATCTGCCAATCTCCTTTGTGCGTGGCCCAGTTATATGAGTTTCGGCACTTAAGTTTGACAAATGACGGTTTACCAAGGAGCGTTCCTACTAGTTCTATTTATTTAAATGGGCCAGCTTGATTCATATGCCTCAAGTATTGCCTCATTTAATTCTTCGAGATCGCTTTCCAGAGCTAGAGGGTGTCTGGGCCCCTTTTTAGCCTGGATGCGTAATAAAATTTGTTTTATAGTGGTGTTGTATTTAGTCTGTTTTTCTAGGATTCCTCCTGAGGATCGTCTCAGGCGTGTCGCTCTCTAACTTAAACACAAGTATCATGTGATCAGATTGAGATGATTCACTCGATACCCTCCAGTTTGTAACTAGATTTTTAATGCTCGGGTACTTAATGTGAATTAATTCCTCACTTCTTACAGTTAAAAATCGATGGTTAAAGTGGAAAAGATCTAAGTCGATTTTTATGATTTATGCGTTTTTGATTATAAAAATAAACAAATTGCAAATATAATTATTAAAACTAATAACGTTTGAGCTTTTGTAGTTTAAAAATATCTGCAATTTGCCAACTTTACGAGTTTTTGCACTTTAACCAGGGAAATATATTTTAAAAGTGCTCACCTCTTCGATTGGTGTCTTTGCTTCCACATGTAATACTGTGGCAATGACAGATTTCTTCTCTGACAGTACTCTGCTAGCCTCGATACTTCCGAGGGTGGTACAGGCCCATCTCCTGTGAAATAACTAGAAGTTATTACTATATAAGTGTAGGTATTGAGTAAAACACAAATATAAAAATATTATTAACGTGTATTAAATCTTAAGAAAATATTAACTTATTTTTTATTTTGTTTAATTGAATTTCTTGTTTTAATTTTTCGATTTCCAAGTTCATTTTAGTCTTTTTCAACTCGTGCTCTTCTTCGGCTCTCTCCAAATTTCTTGTCAACTCTTCTATCTGTAGATTTGCAATTTGTAATCTTTTGTCCATTAGTAAATCATATTTTTGGGCAATAGCTGAATTGGATTGAACTTTAATAGTAGTTGTTGATCTACCTGGTTGGCCTCCAATCTAAAATCGTTGGGAAATAAACATAGATATATAACCAAAACAGATAGGATTGTTTACAAAATTTCTGAGGCCAATACGAGTTTACACTCTAAGCGTCCTTGGCAGAAATGCAATATTCTCATTAAACATTGTTGACAAGTTTACGTAATTTCGTTATCGAAAGAAGTGTGACGTCTGACGACAGCGCAATAAGAAACAATCTATAATATGTAAAGGTACGTTTACATCTGACATTTATTGCATGAGATTTATGTCTGACAGTTGTTTAGTCCAGTGTAAACACTCAAACATATATCTAATCTCCCAGAGAAATGTCAAATGTAAACGTACCTTAAGAGTTATAAAACCCGTTTTTATTCACGATTTAACTTCGAGATTTGTTTATCAGAGATTAAGTATGATGGATGCCATAGGTGTACAAAAACAAATTTAAATATCAAAAACGTATTTACAGTAAATCATTTGTAGATTTGTAGTTAACGATTTACTTTTAAAATGTTAGAGTAAAGTTACAAGTAGGTGGTTTACTTGACAGATTAACGAACGATAGCCATATAGTTTAATCAGCAAGTAGTTACTTTCAACTTTACTTAGAGGTGAAAAGATTAACCCTTAATCGGAAAAAACCTTTTCAATGAGTTTTTGAAATGTTCAATGTTAAAAGACGTCATAATGGTTTCCCTACAAAATTTTACAATCTTGGTATTGTTGATCTGTATTTAATTATTATAACATTTACCGGAATAGCATCAAAAGTGAATAAAACGTATAAAGTCAAATGGAATAAATTTAGTAGCTCAATTACTGTGGAAGTTTAGAAAAAATTCCGAAACAAGTCAATTTTAGATCATAAAATGATATCCTGCAACCTCAAAATTTCACTACTGCCTTCAACCCCTTTAGAGTGACCGTTGTAACCCCCATTTGTAAATAGGAAGTAGGGACGTGTGATACCTCATTTAGAAGGTATTTTTATTCTCTATTCAAAATTGCTATTATTTTCAAATGTATTACAAAAATTAACAGTAAAAAATTCATCTGATCAACGAAAACTCTAAACAATTAATAACTAATAGAGGAAAATGTACTCTCTCTTATAAAGGAAGATTACTTTAAAGATAAATCTTTAAAATGTTGTCAAATTAAAATTAGTAGAAACCTAGTGTGTGTAAATTGTGAAAACTTGTTTCACCTCTCCTGTGCAGATGAACAAGGTAGAATGCATAAAAATGTGTGTGATTCAAGAATCGTTTGTTGCAACTTAAAAAATACAATCAAACGAGGATAAACAAAAGTATCAAACTAATTTGATAACACATTCCAATTTATTAGAAGAAATTAATTTTCTGAAATGGATTATAAAAGGATGAAAAATACGATCTTGCAGAAGAAATTAATAAAATACTGAGACAAACTAACAATCTCCTAAAAGAAAAACTAAAAACAACAACAACAACAACAGGAAGATAGATTTTTCGAACACCGAAAAAGACTTTTTAAAAATTTTATTAATTAAATACAAAATACAAAGGCTTGTTTACTGCCTTAAAACTAAGCAAAGAATGAATTGAATATAATATTAAAAGTAAAGTTAATAATAATACAACCTAGAACCGCTATCTAATCTATGCAACTCTGCATAAATATATGTGGACGTCCGTAAATTGGCCCCATGTAACTAGGATTCTCTACTTTTAGCCAAGTGACAAAAAAAACAACACAAACAACTCTGAATCAAACACCAGAATAAATATCATTGAAGCAAGCAAAGTGTTGCCGGATCTATCAAAAGACTCGCGAACTTGAGAAACTTTAGCAATCCAAACAAATACACAAATACAAAGGGACACACTGAATAAAATAAACCATCTAAATCATGATGAGGAAGGAAATTATGGCTTTGAGTCTGTGAACTCTAGAAGGAATAAGCGCATTAAGAAAAAAATTGGTAAAAGTGAGACATCAGAAGACATTGGTGTAGAAAGGGAAATATGGCTTATATTGAGTAAAAAGACACATTACTCTAGAAAAAATAAACACATAAAAAATCAGGAAACTTTTAAAAATGCAGATATTGTAGTAAAAGAATTACCTACAAAAGATTCTCAAAAATAATGCTTTATGTTTGGCATTGACCACAGATATAAAGAAGACATTTACGAACCATCAGCTAGGCCCAAATCTGTAAGTTTCAGATGTTTTAACTTCCAAACATTTAACCAATACCAGCAAGGACATGAGGATTTTTAGTGGTACACCCAGATAAAACTGCCCAAAGTCAGTGCAAGAACTTAGATACCCTATCGAAAAGACATAATGTACAGTGCATTGGGAAAAATTCTTCAGTGAAAAATCTCATTGTAATGCACTTTAATATTCAAGGACTTGGTAACAAACTTGACTCACTAAGCATTACATTGGACGAAGAACAAGTAGACATACTATGTGTAAGTGAACACTGGCTATGAGAAGAGGAACTGAACATGGCAAATATTGATAATTTTAAGTTTATGCTCTCAAAAATATGGACAGAGAAGGGGTCTGTATATTTGCAAGAGATTACATAAACATTCAATCGATTTCGTTTTCTCACTCCAGAGAACAAGGTTTCGAAGTATGTCTTTCAAAACTAAAAGATCCAGTGGCAAAATACTTACATTATATGTGTATATTGATACTTTCATGTGAGGTTTATATATATTTTTGCATAAATATTTTAATGATAAAGACAAAATATATCCTATGTGAAGATATTAACATAGATTTTTTAATAGAAAGCAGAATCAGGGATGAATTGATCAATTTATTTTTGGAATTTAATATCAAACATCATATAAATGAGCCTACAAGAGTAACAAATTCTAGCCAAACTTGTATAGATATATTTTCAAATCATACAACAGATATAATTAAAGTACGTGACTCTTTTCTCTCTGACCATACTTATCAGATGGTAGAATTTGAAGGGTACCAAATCGGAGAACATGATCATAAATTTACATATAAAAGAAACTATAGTGACAGAAATACTCAAACATTCTAACATCTAATAAGAAATAAAAAATGGGATGGATTGTATGAATCAACATCAACTTTCCATGATAGATTCAGTTTGTTTTATAATACATTTTTGTACAATTTGAATTGTTCTTTCCCTTTGAAAAAAACCAAAGCAAAAATAAAAATCTGATGTGTCCAACACATGACTTTCCTATCTAGTTATTATAGGCTTATTTTGAACAACCTATTGCAGCATCTCTATAAATGTTTAGAGGATAAACTAAATATATACATTGTCCACATACATCTACCTCGAAACATTTTTCTATAGATATTCATAGAAAACGAAAATACTGAAAAATTAAAATTTCCCACAATTTTTTCATTACGGTCCATTTTATTATATTATAGATAATAATATTAGAAGTAACTTTTATTTGAACAATTTTTTTCTCCAAACATTAATAACAGATGTATTCCATAAAATATAAAAGTGGCCTCCCATAAAGTACCCCCCGAGATGTTCCGACTATGTCTAAAATCTAATCATTTCACGTCAGGCCGAAATAAACCTTAAGTTTAAAATTTAATGTGTTTTTCTTTATCCGTTTTTGAGTTTTCTTCAAAATTCGAAATTTACACATTTTCTCAAATATCTCGAATACGGTCCATTTTAGAGAAATTATGTATAGAGTAAAAATTATAGAGAATTATATTACAAACAACTTTTATTTGAACAATTTTTATAAAAAATTATTTTTTTTACATTTTGTCAAATTTCTCGAATACGGACCATTTTAGGAAAATTTTATATAGAACAAAAATTATAGATAATAATATTGTAAGTAACTTTTATTTGAAGAATTTTCTTCTGCAAACGTAAATAACGAATATATTCCATAAAATATAAAAATGACCACCTATAAAGTACCCCCCCAGATGTTCCGACTCTGCCCAAAATCTAATCAGCTCATTGGACGCTGAAACAAAGCTTAAGTTTAAAATTTGGTGTTTTTATGTGTATCGGTTCATGAGTTATGCGTTATACAGACACACACACACACACACACACACACACACAGACACACACACACACACACAGACACACACACACACACACACACACACACACACACACACACACACACACATACACACACACACACACACACACACACACACACACACACACACACACACACACACAGACACACAGACACACAGACACACAGACACACAGACACACAGACACACAGACACACAGACACACAGACACACAGACACACAGACACACAGACACACAGACACACAGACACACAGACACACAGACACACAGACACACAGACACACAGACACACAGACACACAGACACACAGACACACAGACACACAGACACACAGACACACAGACACACAGACACACAGACACACAGACACACAGACACACAGACACAGACACAGACACACACACACACACACACACACACACACACACACACACACACACACACACACACACACAGACATCATCGCGAAAATAGTCAAAACGGATTCAGGGGACCTCAAAACGTAAAAATCCGTCAAAAACTCGAGGTCGAAAAAAATCATGATTCCTATACTTTCCTTATATCTGTATACAGATAGGAAAGTAAAAAGAAAAAAATGGTATGACCCAACAATAAAAAGTATGTGAATTGAAAAACGATTAAACAGTCCATTCTATACTTCTAGGTACAAATAATTTAAAACAATCTAGAAAAATACTATTAAATATTGCCAAAAGAATAAAAATGATGAAATAATAAAAAATTCTGTAAATGTTATGAAAGATAGCTGGAAAATAATCAAAAATGAAACAGGTGCGGTACACTGCAGTTCCTCGGTACCTGAACTAGAAATTAATTGAAACAAAATAACAAATCCTCTAGAAAAAATTAATATATTAAATAATTATTTTGTAGGATTAGCCGATACTTGTCCAAAACCAGAGGGAAATGCTAGTATTCAGACAGTAAATTTTCCTAACGGATTTTTTCTCATACCAGTAGCCCCAGAAGTAATAACTTTATTGAAAAAAACTACTACTAAACCTTCCGCTGGTATAGACAATATAAATGGCAGAGTTCTGGCTACTATTGCTGAATACATATTATGTGTACCTCTTACATACCTAATTAACTTATCATTCACTACCGGATCTTTTCCGAATCTTAAAGAATCTAAATCCATCCCAATCTATATGTTTACAGAGTAGGGTGATTCATTTCCGCAAAGTTTTTTTTTCGGTACTCAAGCAAAATATTAATCTACATATAGAAAAAAAAATCTCACCAAGTTTGAGCTCTTAATATCAATTTTAAGTACTTACTTTAAAATGCAGGTAAATTTTTTTTTTATTTTTTAATTTTCTAATGCTTACCCACCTTTTAAACTAATGCAAATCGGTTTGATGGACCTTATGGGAAATTTCATGCTCTTCAAAATTGCTTTAGTGTTTTTTTTTTGTGTAACTCGCACTTGTTCACCAGTAAGAGTCATCAAAGTACAGTTTTTCAAAAAGAAAATTTTTTGTTTAATTTTTTCGAGCAAACCGCCAAAAGTAGGTAAAAAAGGGCTGATTTATAAAAAAAAGTTATCCGACCAATATTTAATTAAGTTACAGCCATTCTTATACTTGAAAACGTAAGAAATTGATAAATACTAACTCATAATGTTATTTAGATTAATTTGTTTCTATTGATTACCATTATATTTCTCTACACTAAGAACTTTTTTAGAAATATTATGATTTCTCACTCATAATGAATATAATTTCGAAGAGCGAGAAATTTCCCACAAGATCCATCAAACCGATTTGCAATATTGTAAAAGGAGGGTCGGCATTAGAAATTTAAAAAAAAATATTTTTTTTTTACATGCGTTTTAAATGGTAACTTTAAATTTAAATAGTAAGTTCTTAAAATTGATATTAAGAGCCCAAACTTGGTGAGAATTTCTTTTTCTATATGTATTTTGCTTGAGCACCGAAAAAAAACAAAATTTTTCGGAAATGAATCACTCTAATACAGAGTCAAATAGCTAAACTTTTTGAAGCAACATTTTCCAATAGACTATAGTAAAGTATCTCGAACACAGCAATATTAGAATGTATAAACTATATATATATGAAAAACTTAACCGGAAACAGCATATTGTAGGTATTTTTTATGACCTTACCTGTGCCTTTGACTCAACAGACCACAGCTTACTATTAAAAAAACTCGAAGGTATAGGATTAAGAGGAAAGCCACATGACTGGGTAGTCTCATAATTATTGAATCGGACCGATTGTGTTGTCTAAATGTTAGACAACACCTATTGATGGGGCTTCATCTGAATACAAGAGTAATGCATTAGGCATTCCCCAAGGTACATTGCTTGGGCCGATATTCTTTATACTTTTTATAAACGTCATTTCAAACATTCGTGAAACATCAGATAAAGCTCTTTTTTATGCGATGATGAGAAACGTATCAGTACCCTAGTAGAAAATGGAAATAACGTCACAATGGAATTTAAGAGATATTGTGAGTAAAATGGCCTTCAGTTAAATTGCGAGAAAACCTTATATACGAGGTTTCACCTAAAAATATTACTCCTGACGAAGATTTGCTAATTAAACTTTCTGGAAAATCAATAGAAAGTACTCAATCAATGATATTTCTAGGTGTAACTCTTGATCCTAAGCTAACATGGGAGTTGCCGAAATCTATTTAAGAAATATGAAAAATAATAACTATTTATATATTGCCAAAACAAATAAGCAAAATTCTATGAATACATTATTTTGATCCCTATAATAAATTGTCTATCAAAATTAATTAACAGTTCAATGGAACATATTTTTTTGTATTTTTCTAACATAATTTGAGATATTCATTAATTCTAATGTGATTATTATATTTATATTTTTCGTTGTATTTTAATATTCGACCCATTTATCTCATTTTTTTGTTTGTCTTGTATGAATATTATAGTTATCTATATCTTCAATGTGTAGATGTAGGAATAAATGAAATTTTAAATGAGATTTAAAGATTACATAAAATGTTTTTCAAATGCTTACAGTTTGTTGAAGATTTGGTCGCTTTGAAGGGATTGTCTCTGTTTCTTCTGGAATTTCTGTACGCTAAAAAAACAAAAGAGTAAATAAAAGAAGCCATACAAATATTTGTGAATTTTTACCAGACTCGAAAGAAATCTTTCTCTTGCAGTTCTGTATGGACCTGTTGTGGTAGTTGTCAGATTATCTGAAACTGGTCTCTTTAATTGTGTTGGAGTGTACTTGCTCCAATGAGATGAATTATTGTCCGCTCTAATTTGCAACACCTCCCTATTATTGAAGACTCCATTCAGGTCCATTGTTGCATCCTTAAACAAGATAATTGTAACAAAATACATGACATTAATATTCTATGAATATACTAAGAACATTCTGTTTATGTTCCTTACAGTGTGTCCTTTTTAGAATATTTTTAGAACATGCACAGATTATACTTTAAAAATATACAGTGAAAGGATGTAAATTGTGCTCCCTCACTTGTAACTTCTAATTGAAAGAATGTAGAGACATGAAACAAAAACGAGATGAAATTAGAGAGATATCATATTTTTGTTATGTACTTTACTTGAGACAAGATAGACAGCAGTCCTCACTGTATACTAAGCATGAGCTTAAAAAGTACCTACACAAATATATATGCAACCGATTGTCAAGCTGGTCCAAAGAGACACTAATTGAACAATATAGAAAAAAGGCAATAAGTAAACAAGGCCGTTTTTGAAATATATTGAGTTTATATTTTCCGCCTTTCATTTGTGCATTTCTCACTATCCCAGAAAGTCCCCTTTTTCCATGAAATTCAGGTACTGGGAGGATACTGTCAACAGGATGAAATGATACTCTGTAACTTTTTACACCTGCAACCACTATAACTTCCAAGCAATTACCTTTTTTTTAATTACTTTATGAGCTATCAATTCGTAACATCAGGTGCTCTGCTAGCAAAGCAACCCCATATTTTTAAAAAATAGCAATTTTTTTCTAAAAGTTTTATAACATTTCAAGAGACTAAAAGAATAATAAGGTGGTGATTAAAATTTACTGATCATTTGGGATTGAATATCGTTTGTCCTGATAACTCAAAAGCAATCTTACTACTTAATACTTTTAGTTATATCAATGTATATCAAATAAACTCTATTTCTAACAGTCTAGAGACAATTCTGGATTTAATTTTTCATAGTCCTTGTGATGTTACATTATCTGAAGCTATAGATTTGGGTATTACTAAATAATTTTATTGTTTTCTTATTTTCTTTATTAATTATTTAATGTCTGATGCTGTTTGATCTATATTATCTCTTTTAACGTTCTCATGCATATGGTATTTTTTTGTTGTAAAATGATAAATCCACTAAACAAATAAATATAAATGTAGCATAGTTGTTTTTAGAAAAAAAACTTTTAAAAAACCAAGGTACTCTAATGGCCTTGTTCGAAATTACTATATTATTTAAAACTAACAATTTTTAGTTTTATAAATCAAAAGCCTAAAAATGTAATGTGGTTGTTTTTAGGACAAAAAAAAAAACAAAATACCTGAAGTGCTCTACTGATAGACCATCAGATAATGACAGACTTAGATGCATGCCTCATTTTCGCATACAAGTCTCGAAGAGGGTAGAAAAATACATTGATTTTGAGTAGAATTAAATAATATTTACAAGTGGTTCCTGAGGATAACATATGGAAAATTCGATTTTCCTTAACAAAAATTAAGTATTTTTTTGCCTTTATTTTCAAGCAAGCCGTGTTAACTAAATTATTAACTAATAGAGCTAGTGAGAGAGCTAGGTTTCGAAAAAACCACAGGATTTATTGTTGCAAGTGGCTAAATGGTTGAAATAAGAACATAATCCAAACAGGAGAATATGACAACAAAAACAGCAAGACTGAAGATTGAAACAGTTGGAACCGTATTTCGTTATTTCAACACAATCACTTCTTACTCAAATGTCATTTGTCGTTTATGCCTTGTGTCAAAAGTTTCCATTTTTCATTTGATTTGAATATATCAAATAGATCGCATTCATTTTAAGTTATCTTGGTAATCAGAAGTATTAGATGATTTTTAATGTTGTTGAAATCCGTCTGATTTTATAAGGTAAGTTTTAATAATGATATATTGTTAAACATATATATTTTGTACAAGGATTTCTTGAATAAATTATCAAATTTTGAATATAATCTCAATATCAACATGTTGGTTTTATATAAAATTATATATTATTTTTTTTTTTTTGGAATAGGATATTATGCTTTACTATATTTAAATCTCGATTTAAATATATTAATTAAGATTTTTCCTTTTCATACTAATTTTAGTCTCTGTAAAATTATTCATTTAATAGTTTTAAATTGTTTATTTAATAGTTAAAACATTTTATCTGGATCTTGTTCAAATTTTCTATTTTCCTATCTTAATATTTTAACCCTTTCTTAGCATGGCTATATCTAGACGGTTTTAGTTCAATCTGAAGACAGTTGTTTGATTCCTTTCTAGACGTTTTATGGATTTATACCTAGACGTTGTTTTGGTTCAAACTGAAGACAGTTGTTTGATTCATCTCTAGACGTTTTATGGATTTATACCTAGACGTTGTTTTGGTTCAATCAGTTTTTGATTCATCTCTAGACGTGATTTGGATTTATCTCTGAACGTTTTCTGGATTCATCTCAAGACGTTTTGGTTCAATCTCCAGATAGTTTTGAGTCAAGTTTTAATACCATATATCACAAGATCATTCATGTTGCAGAATTGCGAAAAAGGATCCCTAATCCCTTAGTGGAAGTTGCCTGAGGGTATACCATGCGATAACCTAGTTTTACATTCCATATATTACCTAATTTACCAAAAGATAAGTACCTATTCAATAAATCATCTTAAATTTGAATTTAGTAAAACTATGTGAATTAAAATTTGATAGCTACCTTATCTAAAGCATGGTTTAAATATTATTTATTAGTGGTTAGTGATTTTCTATATTTTTATCAAGTGTAATAAGCTTTAAATATAGTGGTACCCAACTTGTTTTTCAAAGTTATTCGAGTTATTTAATAACCTCATCCACGCTCTATCATATGAGCTGAAACACATTAAACAAGTAGATAGAATAACTAGAAATCACATTACAAGATATCAGAATTAATGAAGAACATCTGTCAAAAAATCATGATAACAAAAACTTCATACTAATGCATTTCAATATACAAGGTGTACAGAAAAAAATTAATGAGCTAGAACGAATTTTAAAAAAGAATAAAGTAGATATATGTTGTTTTTCAGAACATTGGCTAAACGCTAATAAAATGGATATGTTAGAGCTTTGTGATTATTCTTTGATAACTAAGTAAGATAACACAATACCAAATGGGTGGAGTCTCTATTTATACAAAAAGTAGTATGTTAATAGAACCTGTATACTGCAATTTTACTATTAAGAAAGTTATCGAAATAAATGTTTGTAAATTTATCTTTAAAAATAAGGACATTTTTATCATATCTCTCTATAAACTACCCAAATCAGATTTCAAATTGTTTACTGATAGGTTATATTATAACCTTTTGTGTTTTTACTATAACCCTTCTAGATATTATGCTGTATGCGGTAATATGAATGTAGACTTACTTATTAATAGTAATGAAACAAAATTACTTAAGAAATATTTTTAGGGAATTTGGCCTGTACAACGTTGTTACAAAACCAACATGGGTCACCAGTATTAACTCAAATTTAGTTGATCCACTTTTTACTTTCCTATCTGTATACAGATATAAGGAAAGTATAGGAATCATGATTTTTTTCTACCTCGAGTTTTCGACGGATTTTTATGTTTTGAGGTCCTCTGAATCCGTTTTGACTATTTTCGCGATGATGTCGCATAACTCATGAACCGATACAAAGAAAAACACCAAATTTTAAACTTAAGCTTTGTTCAAGCATCCAATGAACTGATTAGATTTTGGGCAGAGTCGGAAGATCTGGGGGGGTAATTTATAGGTGGTCATTTTTATATTTTAAGGAATATATCTGTTATTTACATTTGGAGAAGAAAATTCTTCAAATAAAAGTTTGTTTTTTTTTTTTGGCTTGGGCACTTGCCATTCAGAAAGTCGCGAAATATATTATATAAGTTTAAATTACATTATCACTCTAAATACATATATTCAATCATACACACGTTTGTCCTAAGCAAGAAAAGAAGAAAAATATATCGTCCGTATTCGAGAAATTTGATAAAATGTAAAAAAATAATTTTTTATAAAAATTGTTCAAATAAAAGTTGTTTTAAACATAAGTTTTATTTCGACCTAACGTAAAATGATTAGATTTTGTACAAGTCGGAACATCTGGGGGGGGTACTTTAAGGGAGGCCGTTTTTATATTTTATGGAATATATCTGTTATTTATGTTTGGAGGAGAAATTTCTTCAAATAAAAGTTACTGCTAATATTATTATCTATAATTTTTGTTTTATGCCAAATTTTCCTGAAATGGTCCGTATTCGAGAAATTTGACAAAATGTGCAAAATTCTGATTTTTAAAAAAGTTGTTTGCGAAATTGATCTCTATAATTTTTGTTTATACATGATTTTTCTAAAATGGACCGTAATGGAAAAATTGTAGGAAATGTGCTATATTAAAATTTTTCAGTATTTTCGTTTTCAATGAATATCTATGGAAACATGTTTCGAGGTAGATGTATGTGGAAAATGTATATATTTAGTTTATCCTCTAAATATTTATAGAGGTGTTGCAATAGGTTGAACAAAATAACTTGAAAAAGCCTATAATAACTAGATAGGAAAGTCATGTGTTGGACACATCAGATTTTTACAAACATTGAATATAAAAATGTTATTGTTCAAAATAGTTTTCTATCAGACCATTCCTTACAACTCTGTGAATTCAACTTGCAAATAACAAATCAGGTAGAAACTATATAATCTTTTGTTAGGGATTTAAGTGACAGTAACAAGCTTATCTTTAAAAATATAATTATTAACGAGTCATGGGAAGACATGTAAAACTCATCTGAGTTCAATAACATATTTAACAGCTTTAATTCGACTTTTTTGTAACATTTCAACAATGCTTTTACATTTAAAACAGTTAAACCTAAACGACACAAAAATAATTCGAATAACACGGAATTAAGTGCACTGCATGAGATGCTGAGTGAATTACCTAGTATATACATAACTAGTAATAATGATACTATTAGGATAGATATAAAAAACTCAAAATAATTTATAATACCTAATAAAGTCAAATCAGCAAAACTTTTCTACAAATATAAAAGGGTAATAATTGCAAAAAATTCAAGCAAAGAATGTTGGAGAATTGTAAATGAGGCGAAAGGAAAATCAGTAAAAAAAATTGATGTGTCCAACACATGACTTTCCTATCTAGTTATTATAGGCTTTTTCCGGTTATTTTGTACAACCTATTGCAGCACCTCTATAAATGTTTAGAGGATAAACTAAATATATACATTTTCCACATACATCTAACTTGACACATTTTTCTATAATATATATTCCATAAAATATAAAAACGGCCTCCCATAAAGTACCCCCCCAGATGTTCCACCTTCGTCCAAAATCTAATCATTTCACCTCAGGCCGAAATAAAACTTAAGTTTAAAATTTAATGTTTTTGCCTCTATCCGTTTTTGAGTTTTCTTCAAAATTCGAAATTTACACATTTTCTCAAATATCTCGAATACGGTCCATTTTAGAGAAATTATGCATAGAATAAAATTTGTAGAGAATTATATTACAAACAACTTTTATTTGAACAATTTTTATAAAAAATTAATTTTTTTACATTTTGTCAAATTTCTCGAATACGGACCATTTTAGGAAAATTTTATATAGAACAAAAATTATAGATAATAATATTGTACGTAACTTTTATTTGAAGAATTTTCTTCTCCAAACGTAAATAATGAATATATTCCATATAATATAAAAATGACCACCAGTAAAGTACCCCCCCAAATGTTCCGACTCTGTCCAAAATCTAATCAGTTCACCGCAGGCCGGAATAAAGCTTAAGTTACAAATTTGGTGTTTTTCTTTGTATTGGTTCATGAGTTATGGTGGATACAGACACACATACACACACACAGACTGACACACACACACAGACATCATCCCGAAAATAGACAAAACGGATTCTGGGGACCCCAAAACGTAAAAATCCGTCGAAAACCGAAGGTCGAAAAAAATCATGAATCGTATACTTTCCTTATATCTGTATACAGATAGGAAAGTAAAAATTACCCATCGAGATGCTAAATTGTCAAGGCAACAAAATTTCTGGTGTACAAAATATATGTAATAATCAGTTTACTGATGTAGACTATCTTCTACCAAATTATATTGAAGCAAGGCTTCAAGATTTTTCTATAAGCACTCTAATTTTAACTCCAACTACCCCAGACGAAATAACAGAAATTATACAGAAAACAACTTGAAAAAAATCTACCGGTATAGATGAAATAGATGAAACAATATTGTCTTTTATTGCTGAAGATATTAGTGCACCTATGTCCTACCTTATAAACGAGTCTTTTTTATGTGGTGACTATTGTAGCATATTAAAAAAATCAAAATCCATTCCTATATATAAAAATAAAGGGTCTGTAAATGACATGGCAAACTATATATATGCATTCAAAGTCAACTGGCTAAAGTATTTGAAATGGCCTATAATAACAAATTCATTAAATTTCTAAAACATAATAGACTTTTGAGTAAATTTCAACATGGTTTTCGCAGAAATAAGTCAACATCTAGTGCTATAGGGGAGTTATGCGATTTTGTTTACACATCTTTAAATAACAAGGAATTATATAAATATTACCTTATACTTCGACCTCTCAAGAGCCTTTGACCATCGACTGCTAGTAGATAAATTGTACCGAATAGGTATAAAGGGCCTGCCAAATAAGTGGCAGTCATATTTAAAGAACCCTGAACAAGTTATAACCATCGGATGCAGTCAATCAAATAGTCAAAATGTGACAACGGGAGTACCACAGGGTTCAATATTGGACCCTGTTTTATTTTTAGTTCTTATTAATGACTTAGCTCTATCTTGTACAAGTCAAAGTACCAAAATTATATATGCAGATGACACAACTTTTGGAACATCTCCAAAAAATGCATCTGAATTTCAATATATTGCTTAAATGTTAATGTAAAAAATCTGAAATCATGACCGTTCTACCAAAAAATATAACAAACAACTTCAGCTACCTCGTTAAACTAAATCATCAATCACTGATACAAAGAAATTCGAGCAAATTCTTAGGTCTAATTCTGGACAGCAAATTAACGTGGAAAAACCATGTATTTATAGATCATGTATCAAATAAACTAAGTAGTGTATGTTTTCTAATGAGACAGTTAAAAAACACTGTAAATCCTGATATTTTAAAATTAACATATTTTGGTTTGGCTGAATCAATTATCTCATATGGTCTAATTTTTTGGGGCTTCTCAGCTCATCTGGAGCGATACCTTTGTGTAAAAAAAAAGTTATAAGATGCATGGCTGGGGCTTCAAGAACAACTAGCTGCAAACAATTTTTCATCCTAACACTTCCATCTTTGTATATATACTTACTAATACTTAATATAAAAAACAGGAATCCCAACTATCAGATTATAGACACTCACACAATTATATCACATGCAATCACAAATATTTACAGCAGTCTTTCTCTAGACTCTCAGTTAGACAGAATTCCGAAATCTACAGAGGTGCTGCATGTTTTAATATATATATACTCAAGTCAATGGTAATGAAAAAAATCTTTAATGTATTCAAAAATAAGCTTTATGCATATCTTTCGTCCAAAACATATTATTCCTATGCAGAAGTTATGAATGATACTTGGTGATCCATAATGGTCTCTTTATTATACTTAATTATTGTCTAATGTTTTTGTTATTGTATACTATTTTTAATTTGTACTTTATTTTAAACTCAATTGTATCATGTCTCTACTTTTTAAAATTGTACATGTTGATAAGGCTAATAGGGCTTATATGTTTATACATTTTTAACCTTTTTAAAATATTGTAAATATGTATGTCTCAAAGCAGAATAAATATTATTATTATTATTATTACTATAATCTTATAAGAAAAAATCAGGATTTTAACCTATTTTTCCACACAATCCCATCGAATGTATGAAAACTAGTCTGAAAAACATTAGTTTGAATGATCAGAATGTATAAATGCATTTTGGGTTTGGATAATTTTTCTGAAGAGAAAAATCGAATTTTCCATGTGTTATCCTCAAGAGACACTCGTAAATTTCCTTTTATTTCACACAACATTGATGTACTTTTCAACCCTCTTTGAGGCTTGTATGCAAAAATGGGGCGCAAATCGTTCACTATCTATGACTTCATTAGAAGCTAGCAAATCTCGCTATAATTTTTAAAAATTACATTTTCTTTTGAAAAATTTTATATTTCAAGGGCCTAAAAATATGATGTTGTTTTTAGAAAAAAATTTAAAAACCGAGGTAACATACTATTTTTGAACAGAGTATAAAAATAGCCTAAAAATATTGCATAGATTTCAACTCAAATTTCTATAGGTGCACGGGTGCCTTCTTTGTCATTTTATTTATTATAAGAGGAAAAATTGATTTTTATTATTTACCTCATCTTCAAAAACTTGTTCATCATTGGATGTGGATGGAGTAGTATATTGTACACTATCACTATCAAATTCAGATTTCATGCCATTAATTGCTTTGTCATTTATAATAGATAGCAGGATCTTATAACATTCGTCTTTCTCTGTATTATCAGAACCACCAGTTAACATTTCACTTGTATATTGTTTACGTGCTTCCTTTTTTTTATTTTCGTAGGCTTTCTTTAAACAATCCGCCGATCTAAATATGAAACTTGGACTGGATGCGTTGAATTCATCTTCAATTCTTCTCCAAACATTCTGTTTTCTTTCACAACTTAACTTATCAGTCTTTTTGTCTTCAATTATAGCCTTATATTTTAGAACCAGTTTGAGTAAATAACGTTTTTCCGGTAGAGTATAATTTTTTGCTCTGTTTACTTTTGCACTCATAATTAAAATATAAAACAACGGTATTCTGTGATAAAACACTAAAAATGCAGAGCAAACGACGTAAGTAGTAAGCTCCAAAACGGAAAGCACGCTAAAAGAAATTTCCAAATCAAAAAATTCAGAAGCTTTAAAACGGAAATCGTGCTTTTTAAAAATGGTAAATATCAATAAAAACAAACAGAGAAGAAGAGAACACATGGAGAACACAAAACACTTTGAAGAGAATTGACAGTTAATAGACGTTGCCAAAGTTATTTTACGGTGTTAAAATTCCAAGGTTATGTAATTATATAGATTGCTTAATATGTAAATCTGACTACGAAAAACGAATTTCATTGGGCAAAAATTTCTCTTTATTCGGCTATATCAAGCTAGCGGGCACTCTGTGGCGGCACCACACAAGATCTGGTGGGTTTTTTGTAGCTTTTTTGTTACGCTATTTGCGAATTTGTAGCTTAGCCCAGGGGTAGTATTCTCGAGTCACGAACATAGATTCGCATGCGAGATTTATGATTTGTCTCACTTGGTTTTCGTTCAACAAAGTGAGACACATTGTAAAATACGTATGCGAATGTCGGTATTCGTGATTCGAGAATACTACCCCAGGTCCGAAAAAACAGCGGATCCGCTAGCTTGAATTTCCATAGTAGCGGCACAGATTCAGACCCAACTGGTTTTTCGTAACTTTTTTGTAGCTTTTTTGTTACGCTAGTCTCCTTTTTGTAGCTTGTACTGAACCTGAGAAAAGCGCGGATCCGCTAGCTTAGCGGATATTTGTAGCGGCACCAGCTCGGATCCGGCTCATTTTTGTAGCCTTTTTGTTACGCCTGTCTCGATTTCGTTGCGAGGCCTGAACGTGAGTAATAATCGTTTCTCCATGAGCGTGAGAGAAAAGAGCGTTAATTTAAAATCAAGTTTCGGCCTCTACAAGTAATATGTGAAACTCGATAGTGTGACTATCTGTTGCTAGATGGAACCAGTAGTATTGCGTTTCACGAATTATGGCCATCTTCCATCCAATATATTTTTGAGAAATTTAGATATATTAATTATTTGTCCGATATTAATGTAAAATACATATTAACAAGATTATTAAAATAGTTGTATGCCGGACGCCACTATTTTCCCGATCGGGTGTTTTTGATTATTTTTACTGCTAAAACTTTTACTGCTAACTTCACACCGGTGGAAGCAATTACCTATTCTCACTATATACAGGGTGTTCCATCTCAACCCTTCTTCCCTATCCATTTTGAAGGGTTGAAGCGCCCCCTCATAGGGGGTTGCTCGTTCAAGCCTCAAATATACGTCAAAAGATGTCCCCCAAAGAAAATCATCCGACGTGTTTCGGGAAATTTTTCCAATTACTATGGGATAAGAAATATACGGGGTGGCTCGTCTGAGATGGAACACCCTGTATTTTAATTTGTATCAATTATTATAGTTCGAAGTTTTTCTTACTTGTGGGAGTTGTGAGCTTTAAATTTGTTTATTTCTTATAGTGTGTGATAGTGTGTTTTTATATTAAAAATTAAATTTGCGAAAAAGCCCCCAACAAATTGGAATCTATAGTATTGTGATAATGTCAAAATCAAAACTGACGTGTTCAATATTTTCCAAGCGTAAGTCGTAAAATTTTGTTTCTTACATATATACAAATTTATTACCGTTAATTTACAAAGTACTACACCATTTACTTCATAATATAAGAATAAGTATCATGGATAAGGATATAGTAGGGGCAGAAGGCAGAAGATAGGAAGGCTTTTGGTAGGTATATAGAGAGGTGGTAAAGCGTCAAACCCTTCGAACAACCTTCTAGCTCGAAGTTAATAACGGATCAAACCCTAAACTGGATGGCTATACTGCCGTGTTAATTCAAATGGACATATCTGTTTAATACTTGAACGTGAGAAAAATCACTTACGCCCAGTGGCTGCTCGTGGGCACTAGCGGCAGTGGGGCACACACTGGAAAGGAATCCTGGGATTCGTTTTTCCCTTGGGTAAACAAGTTCTCCGCTTAATGAAAATTAAATATATTTCAAAACAATCAGTTGGGGCAATAACTATTTCTGAATGTGACTACAGGGAGCTAAATGTGACCACTCAAAATGCATTTAACTATGTATGTGGCTATTTAATCAAAAAATCATTACATATCCACTCTTGCGAAATTTGCCTAAATTTCTCAGAAGAATGCAATTTACTTAACTATTCTAACTTGATAACGCATTTTAAAGCATACGACTCTGAAGAAAAGGTGTTTGGCAATTTAAAATCTACCAGCGAAAAATTTCTCTTTTATATTTTCAAATTAGAAAAAATATTTATATCTCTATTTGATAGTTTGTCAACTAAGCCTGGAATTTCCAACGCATACCTTTTTGAGATGAGCAAAATAGAATTTGGTCATCCTTGCCAACAATTTGCGAAAATGTACACCATTAAATTATTTATAAGACTCAGAATTTTTTATACTCCTAAATATGCAAACAGAGATTTGAAATCCTCGAAAAAGTCAGACAAACCCAAAATAAAAATTAAAATTTTGTCCCATCTCTATTTTCAGATGTACAACATCTACAAATTTATATCCCGTCATAATAAATTTCACAAATTCACAAGTTCGGCGATGTTTTGTAACTTAGGCGGTAGGACTAAACGTTCAACGGTCGCAAGCTCTGCTGAAACTGGAGCCAACGCAATCGTCCGTACTATTTCTTCCGCTGGATCTAGGAAGAAAGTGGTGGGAGCTCTAGGCTATTGCCGCCGCGTACATTTATATCTGGTGTAGGTTAATCTGGGACAGCGCCCTGCTTGTGACGTATAATCCATCGCATGTGTTCATCTCTTGCTAAGCGATATTGTCGTTGTCCTTGTTTTTCGCATCATAATGAGAGAGAAAACAACAGAGGAACACATTTACTGTGCCCTGTGCCCATCTTCTTTCGGAATTCCCGGAACGTCGCTCAACGCCCGGTCGTCCAGTGTCGTGCCAACGCGGTTTGCGCTGAATATTAGATAAAATAATAGTATGCATTGAGGAAAATATAAAATATGTAAGTTATTTTTTTTTTGTTTATTATACTAGGGCACGTGCCCAAGTGCCCTTACGGGCAAACTGTCACTGCTTACGCCCAAATTTCTAAGTGGTAAATCTCTGGTTTTATTGAAGATATATCCATGAAAGTAGAGATCAAAAAATTCATTGTTGTCATGCGTAGTGGTCATATATTTATTTCAAGGAAAATTATAATTACGGCCATTTGAATTAATACGGCAATAGCTCCACTCCTTATTTCTAAGCCGACACGGGTGAAAAAAACGGTCGGTGCGCATGACAATTTGGACGCAGACTGTCAATTTCAAGCATTCTACACGTCACGTTTTCCACGGCCGTACTGTGATAAGTTATATTTTTGATTAATAATGCCGTATTTTAATAATTATTATTATCGGACCATTTGTTTCAGCTTCGTATTAATCAAAAATCTGATGTGTCCAACACATGACTTTCCTATCTAGTTATTACAGGCTTTTTCCGTTTATTGTGTACAACCTATTGCAGCATCTCTATAAATGTTTAGAGGATAAACTAAATATATACATTGTCCACATTCATCTACCGCGAAACATTTTTCTATAGATATTCATTGAAAATGAAAATACTGAAAAATTTAAATTTAGCACTTTTCCTACAATTTTTCCATTACGGTCCATTTAAAAAAAATCATGTATGAACAAATATTATAGAGATCGATATCGCAAACAACTTTTAGTTCAACAATTTTCATAAAAATCAGAATTTTGCACATTTTGTCAAATTTCTCGAATACGGACCATTTCAGGAAATTTTGACATAAAACAAAAATTATAGATAATAATATTAGAAGTAACTTTTATTTGAACAATTTTCTTCTCCAAACATAAATAACAGATATATTCCATAAAATATAAAAACGGCCTCCCATAAAGTACCCCCCCAGATGTTCCAACTTTGTCCAAAATCTAATCATTTTACGTCAGGCCGAAATAAACCTTAAGTTTAAAATTTAATGTTTTTTCCTTTATCCGTTTTTGAGTTTTCTTCAAATTTCGAAATTTACACATTTTCTCAAATATCTCGAATACGGTCCATTTTAGAGAAATTATGTATAGGACAAAAATTATAGAGAATTATATTATAAACAACTTTTATTTGAACAATTTTTATAAAAAATTATGTTTTTTACATTTTGTCAAATTTCTCGAATACGGACCATTTCAGGAAATTTTGACATAAAACAAAAATTATAGATAATAATATTAGAAGTAACTTTTATTTGAACAATTTTCTTCTCCAAACGTAAATAACAGATATATTCCATAAAATATAAAAATGACCACCTATAAAGTACCCCCCCAGATGTTCCGACACTGCCCAAAATCTAATCAGCTCATTGGACGCTGAAACAAAGCTTAAGTTTAAAATTTGGTGTTTTTCTGTGTATCGGTTCATGAGTTATGCGTTATACAGACACACACACACACAGACACACAGACACACAGACACACAGACACACACACACACACAGACATCATCGCGAAAATAGTCAAAACGGATTCAGGGGACCTCAAAACGTAAAAATCCGTCGAAAACTCGAGGTCGAAAAAAATCATGATTCCTATACTTTCCTTATATCTGTATACAGATAGGAAAGTAAAAATTATTTTAAAGTGATTTTTCTTAAATTAAAATAAGGTGTAATTGAATGTAATAAGTGTTAAATTTAATTTTAATGTTCCTTTTTAGTGCATTTCGATACGCCACAGTGGCGTTTTAGCTATATTATAATTTTGGCAAATTTTAAATAATCATTAACAAGACATTAAGAGCTCAAATTTTGGGATTATATTAAGAATAGTGCTGTTGAAGAATGCATTTATTTTTATTATATTTCAAAATTTACAGCCCTTTGATTTTTTTTTTTCGGAAACTGGAAGGAATTAAAACTTTAAAATATATGCGCACATTCTTGATATTATTGCCTAATATATTTTGCCAAAATTTTAATTTAAAAAAATACTTTTTGAGATATCCTTTCTCGAAAATTATAAAGGGGTGGCTATAATCACCTTAAATCATTTAAGAGTAACGTTAAAAAAATTTCATTTAAAGTTTTAACTTAAACACCCTGTAACTTTTTCTGTGTGCAATTTTGACCCAAGAACATGTATGGTATATAATTTAATTATGATCAATCTTTTTGATACACCCTCCTGTATATATAAGACAAAAATTATAGAGACTAACATCACAAAAAACTTTTATTTGAAGAATTTTTCTTCTCCAAGCGTAAATAACACACTTTTTTAACACCCTGTAGATGAATAATAATAATAATAATAATTAAAGGCACGGCTATTTAGATTCTACTTTGTAAAGTCCACTGCGCCCACTCTATCCTAACGATTCAATATAAAAAATAAATATTCGAGGATTTACAGATTTGTCATAATAATTATTACCAAAAACAATTTAGCATAAAAATATCATTAATGGGAGATCCAATCAGTCGTTTTTTTCGGGTAAAACTAATACATTTCTACAAATCCATCTTTCAAGTCTTTCAACGCTAAACTGCGCAAGTTCTTTTTTCGCTCGATCACTTAAAGGAAATTGCGATAACTGATAATTCTTGGCTAGCCATGAATACAGTTTTATACTTTCCTTTAGTCTGCCGCATATCGCTGTCGTGCGTAAAAGTCTCGTTAGCCTTGCGTAGCCGAACAAGTGAGCGTGTCGTGCATTATTGAAACAAGTGCCGAGCCAAAAGCCGAGCTATGTTGATGCAATCCTACCGTAACCCTTCGGAAGTTCCAGGACGTGCACAACATCCTGCAAGAGGAACGGGAGGCATTCTGGATTCGCCCACGTTAGCCAGAGTTGAAAGAGCGATGTTACGGCACGAAGAAGGGGTTAATCGAGACGAACAGAGTATTTTGAGGGCGCAGCATACACAGGTATGTTGATGATTCATATTAATATTATATTTTCAAGGTAATAAATTTTAAGGGTCATTCAAAAATCAGTAAATAAATGTTTATTTCCTTAGATTTTTGTTATTATTTGGGTACGGTCTACAAATAATTTTCTGGTTAATATTTTTTTTTTATTTATAAATTATAAAATAAATTCGAAACACATGTTTAAATTATATTACTAGTTTGTTTTGGTTTATATAGTCATGTATTTTATGGGTATGTATGTACGTACATCTTGTATTTATTGTGTAGAATAAAAATATATGTGGGATATTATGTTAAGAGGATTTTGATTTTTTTTTAATGAATCAATAATTAGAATTTTATAATACTTTGAATTTGGCAACTGTTTTAAATTTAAAAACATGTTTTTCAACATGTGTAACATCAACCGATTATCAGATTTTTATTTTTTGTTTTATTCTACAATAATTATTTTTCGTATTTACACATTTTTCGTTGACAATTAAATGTTGGGACGCTAAACGAATATTATTAAATAAGTATAAAAAAACAAAATATACAGAGTGTCCCAACATTTCTGGGACAGACTATCACGTATTGTAAAAGTCAAAATAAGTCGATTGGACCCATAGTAAATATACTAGGTAAGTTTGGACAGACAAGTTCCATTCGCCCCTTTAACTCCAAACGACCCTTTTAGCGTTCGGTTTAGTCCGATTAGTGACAATTTAACACGCTTGTCATTTAAAAGCACCCTAAAAACTCTGCTCCTGTCCCGTTCCAGATCTCTGTTATAAGAGCTACACAATCGATTAAATTAGCAGTATTTTTCAGGATGATATTACTGAGGCCCTTCTTATGGGGCCTCAGTATTGTATTCGTGCAGACGAAAAAATTTTCCGACCCCCATTTTTTTATACTTTTTTTTCACGTTTCCGATCATTTTGAGTCCAAAAAAAAAAAAAAATTCGTCTGGTTGTCTATGCGTATGTATGCCGGCACAATAACTCTAGAACGAAAGTTCTGATTGACTTGCGATTTTGATTTTCTTGAATAATTACTTCTAACTTAGAACCCTATTGATTTTCAGAATTTTCGATTCATCCTAACTTCTTTAATATCAATGTTCTTAAAATCCACCTATGCATTTCTTATGTCACTTATTTTTACGCATTCCTATCATTCCTAACGTCTAATATTCCTAACATTCCATACATTCCAAACATTCATTAGAATTTAGAATTATATGTCATGCTCTGTCAATACAAATTAGCGCGGTGTTGCCAAATGTCCAATTAAAATCAACAAAAAAGAAATATAAAAAATACCTAATTTTTGACATAACATTTCCATACTTTTTAAAAAGCAGTTCTATTAATTTATTTTCGGTCACACCCGATGATTTATTTATCCATATTAATATTACGTTGAATATAAAGTAATAAACAATTATATTTTTCGAAAACTTTGAAACATAATTACTTTGTGTTATCCAAAACTTTTTAAAACTTTTTTTAATCAAATATTTGTTTGATAAATGACGCTAGCCAGCTAAGTTAAAAGAGGATAGCTGAATTAGTTCAATTTGTGCTGGGTTAACTGTGACGTCACTCGGTGGATACTTTTAAGACATTTCTTTATACTTGGTTACAGTATTGTGGTTACTACGATGAGTTCAAACCATGGCAACCGTTGCCGTAGTAACCAGTAAACACAAACCCAAATCTCGTGGTGAGGAAATGCATAGTTGCCAAGTTATAGATCATTTAATGTTCACTTTATTTTAGACCAAATGAGTTTTGGTGAAACTCTTGCTATGGGAACGCTTGACATATAAATGACTAAACAAGAACCAAATCCCATGGTGAGGAAATGCGTGGTTGCTAAGTTACAGATGAGTTAATTTTGCTGTATTCAGTTACGGAGAAACTATTGCCATAGAGACGCTCGTCATGGTAAAGACGAAACAAAAACTCAATTCCCGTGGTAAGGAAATGCATAGTTGGCAAGTTACAGGTCATTTAATTTTCACTTTAGTGTAGCTGAAGTCGATTACGGAGAAACCGTTGTCATAGGAACACTTATCGTGATGTCGACTAAACAAAAACCTAAATCCGGTGGTGAGGAAATGCGTAGTTGTCTCTTATATTTAGGTTAACTCTTAACATAATATCTCAATCTAAACTAAAGTGAAAATGAAACCGTCTATAACTTGGCAATTAGGCATTTTCTCACTACGGGATTTGTTTAGCCGTTAACATGACAAGCGTTTCCATAGCGACAATTTCTCACGCTCGTCCCACCCACCTCCAAACCACTACAGAGGAGAGCGAGTGAAGCGAGCGCGCCTGGCCGACGTGCCTTTTTTCCACCCACATTATAAGATCACGCTACGCTCCTCCCACTCACCTTCTAATCAGTACACAGCAGGGCGAGGGAAGGGAGCGCGCCCAGCCGACGTTTCGAAATTCGGCGGGAATTTGATTCATTTCATTTCATAAAATTTTATTCAAAATTGTTTTGCAAACCTATCAGGAATCTAAATATTAGTATGTTACGTTACTTTTTGTACACTATGTATATAAATTTTGACTTATACCTTAACATTTCAAATTTCTCAATATTTCTTAATTAAAAAAAATGTTTAGATAACATGGCCATAGCAATTAAATGTATTTATTACCTACTACTTGCCTATTTATTTACTCCTATAATTTTTAAAGGTGATTAATAATCTCTTTGGGTCAAAATGATATTTTGAGACAAATTTAACTAATTCAGCTATGCTTTTGTTGATAGTAGTCTTTAAATTTGACTAGCTGGCGTCATTTTGTCAACCAAATAAATTTACTTATTTTAAACTTTTGGAAAATACAAAGTAATAATAAAATTATTGTAATGTTTGTTTATTTTAAACAACAGTTTATTTATTAATAATTTATTTAAACACTTATTTATTTTAAACAATACTATTTTAATTTTTATATATTTCGAATCTCCTTAAACTGATCACTATTTGTATTCACCACGGTCTATCTACAACTGACCCCCCTTGTTCCTCCACCAATATTTATATACACATTTAAAACTTTGGCGAAGGTACTAGAATTTTCATCAATTCTCACCAATACTAGAAATATTATCACGTTGACTCTGGAATATACTCGAAAAGCGCCTCCGCCATAGTCGTCACATATGTTTGGTCTTAAGGGGTTTAATTATGTATGATAATAGGACAAGTTGCGCCTCAAAGGCCAAATAAGACTGAGAAGGACTTGGAGGATTAGAGCATTACTAAATAATGAAATACCTCGCATTACATTATGTTTAAAATTTTTCGAAAAGTACTTTATTTATTACCTACTTTATAGATGATTTAATATTAATACTTAATTATTATGTACTGCAACAATTCAATCAAAATGGATAAATAAATCGTCAGATGTGACTGGAAATAAATTAGAGAACTGCTTTTTAAAGTGTATGGAAATGAAATGTCAAAAATAAGGTATTTTTTTAAATTTATTTTTCGTTGATTTTAACTGGACACTTGCAACACCGCTCTTATTTGAATTGACAGAGCATGACAGATATAATTCTAAATTATAATGAATAAATACATATTAAATGATCACTTAAAGATCCTCATATGCCTTTAATATGTATTTTTTTTTTAAAAAACGTTAATTTATGGGGTTTCCGGTTATAAATTTGAAAAATACTCTTCTTCCTAAAGTCTAAAATGTAAATTTGTAAAAAAATTGTATATTTAAGAAAGGGCATCTTTGCAATATTTACCAAATTCCTACTTACAGAACGGTGAAAAATTGTTATCTTCATGGAAAAATTTAAACTGGGACCAAGGTCAGGAAAAGGGTTAATCAAGGTATATGTAAAAAATACATCAATAGTCGTCCAATTCTACTATTTTTAAACTATCAGAACAATAAATACACTGCCCAAAGTATTGGTACTAATAAATGTATCAAAATGAAAAAAGATGTTGCAGCTTTTTTGAAACCATTTGAAATGTTTATACGTAAGAGGCTTAAGCAACAAATATTTTTACATGAACAGATCTAAGGGAGTAACGGGATTATATAATTTTACATGTATATATTTAAAAGAGACAAAATATTTTTAGATAAATAGCCAAAGTAAGAAGCCCAAATACATGAGCAGGCTTAAGAGGTAAAGGGACCAATTATTATTGGATAAATTGCTCGAACAAGTTTGTAAACCCTAATCAAAAAGCGATATAGAATGGTTTTAAAAATCAAGGTTTATCAAAATCATCACATAGTTTGACCTAAGTAATGCCAATACTTCACAAACCAGAAAATTCAACGTCTTAATACTACTATTGGCTTTTGGTCTTTCGTTCCAAGTTACATTATTTCTCGATTTATTTACGCTACGAGTTTACCCTTGTGGGCCTCAGTCTCGATAAGGTGGAAACCACCATTTTAGCGTCTCTCGAATTACTATTACAGAACTGATATTACAGTTTATCAATTATTTTTGGTATCTCGTAATTCGAAATTTGCACTTTTTCAAATATCTCGAATACGGTTCATTTTTAGGAAATTCATGTATGGGACAAAAATGATAAAGAATGAATCACAAGCAATTAATTTTTATTTTAACAATTTTCTTAAAAATTTTGCACCTTTTGTCAAATCTATCGAATACGGACCATTTTAGGAAAATTATGTATGGGACAAAATTTATAGAAAATAATATCTCAAGCAACTTTTATTTGAAGAATTTTCTTTTCCAAGGGTAAATAACAGATATATTCCATCAAGTAGAAAAACGACCTTCTATAGAGTTCCTCGCCACAGATGTTCTGACTATGCCCAAAATCTAATCATCTCACCGTAGGATGGATAAAAGCGCAAGATTAAAATTTATTGTTTTTGATTTTGATCTTTGTTAGAGGTATAAGTGTGAGAATCTATAAAATAAGCATATGAATTGTTGGATAAATAAAATAATGAAAATTTTTATGAGAG